GTCTTCAGATGCTCCTCCCACTTCTTCCGCTTATGTACGTTTACAAGTTGCCGAATCTCCGCGTTGAGATCCCTGATACGGGGATCTCCGGGATCGGCCTGACGAAGGCTATCACGCTCATCGGCTAGAACAGCCGCTTCGGCAGGGAAATTTGGACGTGGGTCCGTAATACATCCTGCCGGTACGAAGAGAGCTGCAGCAGCGGTGATAGCCCTGCGGAACTTGCGTTCATCAAGGTGGACGTCGGTTGGTGTGGGGAGAGCAACGAAGGTGTTTTCAGTAAATTCCGCGAAGCCTTTCCAATCAGCTTTAGAAAAGTTGATATAGGTCCGGTGTTTGGCGGAGGCAAAGTCGGTTGGTTTATCTATCGAGATGACTATGGGTAGATGGTCTGATGCTAGAGTCAGCATAGGTCGCCACGTTATGCTGTTTATCAGACCAGCGCTGACTATTGTGATGTCTGGCGAGCTACTGCAGTTACCCATAATCCTGGTGGGTGCGTCGTCGTTCATTGTGCAGAATGTCGAATCGTCTATCTGCTCAGCCAAGTCTGTTCCCCTACGATCGTTTGACAGGCTTGAGTGCCAAAGATCGTGGTGCGCATTAAAGTCACCTACTACCATACGGTTTTCACCTCTGAGGAGCGCACCTATATCAGGGTGATATCCTGCCGGGCAGCAGGTGACAGGGGGTATGTATATGTTAAATATTTCGAGCTCTGAGCTCAACATCGCCTGAGCAATGCCCTGACATTCTAGGGTGGTATCCCTGCGGTCGATGTCTGCTTCGATAAGACGATACTGCACGGTGTGGTGCGTGATGAACGCTAAGCCACCACCATTATCTCGCTCGCGATCTCGACGGTGCACGTTGTACCCGGCGCAATTCAACAAAGTTGAATTGCTGTGCAACTTTGTCTCTTGGACCGCAGCTATCAATATACCATGCCGACACATGAAGACGGTTATCTCCTCAATCTTGCTCTGTAGCCCGTTGCAGTTAAATTGAAGGAGCTTCATGTGGTTCGGGAGACGTGTGGTGATGCGAATTGTAAGAGATGTGTGTGGCCGTCACGCCATTGGCTGTGTGCGCTGCTGAGGTGGTTGCGGTCCTGTGGTGGTGGTGGGTGGCGTCGCAGTTGAGGTTTGCGACCGTGCGGCGCAACACGGGCCCTCAAAGTTCCTCGTCCAATCTCGCGTGGTGCGCAGACCTGAACATGCCCTAAAGTGGCACCAGCCAAGGCAGGTGTTGCACTTGACTGATGTCACATTACGGAATAACCTGGTCTGACATACCGTGCAGATTGTAGGAGGAACCAAGAGTTG